CTCTTAGTTTTACTCGATTTCACATAGAATAATCAAAATTTGATTCATACAAAATTATTTGACGATGTTTATATCTTAGGATTTGATCAATAGAAGATAGTTAATCGACATTCGAAAAATAGTACAGTTTTCAAATTTTTATTTTATTTGAAAAAGTACATTGTTTAGTTGTCTTCCATAACAGCAACAAAAAAAAGACAAATGACTCTGTGGTTCACTTCATGTCTTTCTCCTTTTAGAATTCGATCAATTTCGTTAAATATACATTTGCTTGTTGTTGATGATACTGGAATGAAATGTAGCATCAGTTTCAAATGTTATAACTGTCAATGTATACATGAATGCGTTTTTCATAATGACACGACGTGTTTACTTTTTTGATTGTGCATTTTCCTTGACATGTATTAAATTACTTCATTATGTAGTTTATCATTATTTATAGAATTCTTTTATTAAAACAATATTGCTTTGCATTTTTGTGACCTGTTCTCAAATACAATAAATTGCTTGATCATGATCGAACTGATTTTCATTCCTATATTTTCAATTAGTAATTTTTGGTACACGAAAGTAGTTTACGTGCCGAAAAAACGTCGACCTACAACATATGAATCAGAAGTCGTACAATAATTTTGAAATCATATTGGGAAAGAACACTAAATTCTGATTTTAATACCAATATTTTCAAAATTTCTGTTAACTATCTTAAATATCATTTAAATAAGATCTAGCAGATTATATATGAATCCTGATTATACTAGTTTTCTATTTATTTTTAGAGAGTAATAATTATCACTTCACAGAATAAAAAGTGTATGTTTGACTAAAACGAAATATCAAGAATCTAGTTTTGAAGTTTATTTGCACATGTTTAATTAACATGTTCCTGGACGACAACAACAACTAGATGATGATTGATCATTTGATTTTTGTTGATTGGATACTTGATTGGTTGTATTTGGAATTTGCTAGAAAAAAAGAAAAAATTACAATAAATAAATTTTTCTCTCACATTCTTATACCTTTTCATCAGTAATTGGTTCAAATTTAAAATTATCACTATATCTTGACATGCGTAACATTTTAACCAATTCTGCATTAAGATATTGTGGTTCACCATGAAGCTAAATAATAAACATCGTAATTGAATACATACAATGATCAAAACTATACCTTGAATGTAATTGACTCATTAAATTGAAATTCATTTTCATAATGAACAATTGATGTTTGATAAGTTACCAAAGCACCAAGCTTATCATCGGACTTTGTTGACTCGTCAATAGATTTACTCTTGAATAAACGATAAGTACATGATGTGAATTTGATATCACCTATACGAATGTATAATTCATTCATTGAATGAAAAATGAATAAACAAGAAAAATCGAACCGAGTAATTTTTGTAATTCTACATTGTTGATACCAATCGGATCTGTTGCCACCAATATTGGTCGTGTGAAACCAACTGCAAGTGCACCCGAAATCAAATCACTTTCACAGATAGCACCACTTAGACATTCGCCTATAGTAAATATTTAACATTAAATGGACAAATGAACATTGTATGTAATGAGTATTTAAAAGATATAAAAAACTCATAGAAAGAAGATTTCTCTAGTTTGAAATTTTATACATTGACCATTTTATCCAATAATAATATATGAAAATATGAAAAATTCTATTTTCGTAGAAACGTGAAATATTACAAAAATAAAATATTTTTATAGATTCTTACCCCAGAGAATCTTATTTTGCCGTAAATCTTCCGGTACCGGTCGATCAGCATAAACATCACTGAAGTAAAATTCACCTCCAGGCTATAAACAAAAAGAAATTTTTATTATATATGCTTGATTAATCGTTTACTCTCTCCTGTAATGTCTTATCGATAAAAGATAGAAACTTACAGCTTTTACTATGCCTTTCCATCTGTAGCAGACTTTAACAATACGAATAAGGAACTCTGAATGCAAATCAAAACCCATGATCTCATAATATAATGTCAAAGTAAAGACTAATGATGCTCACCTGATCCGGCGAATAAAAGAACTCGCTTCGACTCAAGAATAATCGCCTTTGCAATTGTAAAACTACATATCATTGTTCGAAAGAACTCGATTTTCAAATAATAATTCATGAGAAGTATTTGACTTAAAACTTTTCATAGAGAGAGGCCGTAGCAACATTAATTTATTCTAAAAGTTTTACATCATTTAATTTGCTCCTATCCTGAGATAAGAGCATGAAACCTGCCTGTTTATATGAGCAATACAGAAGACATGCTATTATCATACATCTATCTTATGATGGAAATAGCGACAAGATGCAAACATCCACGACAACTGATTCTTATGAAGATCTGTCTCTATGCAAATTTTTATGCCGAAATTCAACAATCATGTTTTCTAGACCACGACATTCATTTAAAAACTACCATAAAATTACAGTATCTTCAACAGCAATAAGCTCAGAGCGCAAACTCTTTTCCAGGTATTCATAGCTAATTTGATTTTATATAATGCACATAGTTTGAACTCAAAATCGATTTATTATTTCCTTCGCGTAACTTGAATATTATTGTCTGTTACAAAGAAATAAATCGGAACAAAAACGAGAATACTTTATCTCTCTCCATCAATCAACTTACTTTTAACATTTCATATACTTGTTGTAAAACTTTCTTCTTATCAGGACTTAAATTAACAACACAATTTGATCTAAAACAACAATGATACAGATCAAACTTTAAAGAAAAAGAAAAAGAAACGAGAAACAAAGTATACATACACAATAACATCAAATGAATTAGTTTTCATTCCAGAATCATTAGTAAGCTGTTCAATTTTACCCAAACGAAATTCAACATTGGCTTTTTCAAAACCAAATGCTTTTGTATGATAATCAATAAAACGATTAGCAACATCAAGCTAAAGTAGAAAGAAAAAGAAGAATAATTCATTTGATGTTGATTAATACAAAATTTGATATACTTGTTCTTTAGTCATATCAACACCAACAACATATCCTTGAGCTCCAACAAGACTTGATAAAATATAAACATCACGACCTGCTCCAGAACCAAGATCTAATACACGACAACCTTCAAGTTTTGGTGGGAAGACTAAACCACATCCATAATATCTATGAAAAAAATAAAAATCTTCTTTTAATATTTTGCTATAGACTAGAAAATTATTGAAATGAAATTTTAGCTATTTTGATACTGTATTATTGTCTTTCAAATGTATTTAAAATACTTTGTTTTAACGTATCTATTTTCCTCAATGGAAACTCACTTTGCTACAACCTCTGGATGAATCTTTTTTAAAATATCTTTGATAAAAGAAGGTACATCAGCCTTTGAACAACAAGCATCGGTTTTTAAATCAGTTGTTTGCTGTAGTTGTTGTCCATAATAATTTTGCACGTCTTCATGTACATTCGTCATGACGATTTGCGTTCCTTTGCTAGTGAATATGCAAAAAGATAAGACAGAATACTGTTTTTATGTACCTCGAATGTTTTTTTTTGAGTCAAATATGACTTGACATGCTTTTTTATCATTTGTCGGCTTCTGATTGGTCAATGAAAATGCTCTAGATACTTCGTGTTGTGCGTGACGAAGCAAAAAAAATGCCAATCATTTATTTACCATCAATGATTATAGAAGCGCCACCTAATGCACCACATATGATCAGAAAGACGAAAACGATAAAGATGATCTACTGATATCTATATGTTGTTCGAGTTGAACATAATTTAGATTGAAAAACAAGCATTTGAATTATTATAATGACGAATTAGTATTAATAATTGTTGAACATTCTCTTGTATGGGTAAAGGTTTATTTCATTTCGTTATAGGGTTCTTCAACATCCATTGATCATATCTAATCGTAAATATAGATGAAACAACTCTTAAAATCTAAAATAGCTAATGAAACTACTTCATGATTTTTATTCTGATGACTATGAAATGTACATAAGTATTGTTGACAAATTCTCATGCAAAAGAATATGAACTATCTGATTCTTAAATTTCACATAAATGCATTGTAGCAATGCCAGTGCTACTTACGATAATGAAATTCAAAAGAACTTTGTTCTTTATATATTAAACTTATGACATCGTGAAAAACTTCAGATGAATTTTATATAGATTTGACATAATAAAATTAACACCTGAAATGTTTTTTCCTAAGGCCAACACTAACGGTTTCCTATAGTCGTATTTTTTAGTGTTTTTTTTTTGTTGAAATGTTACTATTTGCATTCTATAAGAAACTTTCAATTCATTTTTTAAATAACGTCTCTGTTTAGGAGTCATCCATAGAGGCCATTAATGTAAAAATCGTATTTTTTTATCTTGTTTTCTGTCTCGATTTGTTCAATGTCATATATTTGCTCGTTCTCGCGTGAATGTTCAGTAAGAAAACTAACAGACAATAAATTAAATTATAATCCATAGCTGAGTTCTTGTTTTTTAAATACATTGTATCTTGATATGCACAAAAAAAGTAAAAAAAAAATGAAGTTAAATATCAATGGCACTCAAAAATCTCATCTAACTGCTTGATAAAATAACTATCTGTTTATGCAGCACAATCTTCAGTTGTTCAACGTCATTTTCATATTCAACTGTTTTTTGTTTTGTCGAAAATTTTATGAAAAAAAAAAGGAAAATATTTATAGGAAGTGTTGAGATGTTCGGAAGTGTTTGATCCGCTTCAACTGGATATCCTTTATGCATGACCTCTGATAAAAGTCAGAAAAATAAGATATTAGTTTTTGTCAAAAATTAATCAGCAGCTAACGGCAATTGCTTGTTGTGGAAAAAATAGACATAGTATGCATTTGAATTATTGACTCACTCTTATCTAATATGATCGAGCAAATAGAATAAAGATTTGTTGGTCATATCGTGTTTCATTCATCATGGTTACAAAAGTATAAAAGAACGAGTATGCCACATCTTTTCTCAGAACAATTTATATCATCATGGCAAATATACATGAAAACGTCCAGAATTATTATGGTGTAGAACTACAAAAATCAACTGATTCAAAAACAGATGTTTGTTGTTCAAAGGCTGATGTACCTTCTTTTATCAAAGATATTCTAAAAAAGATTCATCCAGAGGTTGTAGCAAAGTGAGTTTCCATTGAGGAAAATAGATACGTTAAAACAAAGTATTTTAAATACATTTAAAAGACAATAATACAGTATCAAAATAGCTAAAATTTCATTTCAATAATTTTCTAGTCTATAGCAAAATATTAAAAGAAGATTTTTATTTCTTCATAGATATTATGGATGTGGTTTAGTCTTCCCACCAAAACTTGAAGGTTGTCGTGTATTAGATCTTGGATCTGGAGCAGGTCGTGATGTTTATATTTTATCAAGTCTTGTTGGAGCTCAAGGATATGTTGTTGGTGTTGATATGACTAAAGAACAAGTATATCAAATTTTATATTGATCAACATCAAATGAATTATTCTTCTTCTTTTTCTTTCTAATTTAGCTTGATGTTGCTAATCGTTTTATTGATTATCATACAAAAGCATTTGGTTTTGAAAAAGCCAATGTTGAATTTCGTTTGGGTAAAATTGAACAGCTTACTGATGATTCTGGAATGAAAACTAATTCATTTGATGTTATTGTGTATGTATACTTTGTTTTTCGTTTCTTTTTCTTTAAAGTTTGATCTGTATCATTATTGTTTTAGATCAAATTGTGTTGTTAATTTAACTCCTGATAAGAAGAAAGTTTTACAACAAGTATATGAAATGTTAAAAGTAAGTTGACATATGCACTGAGGTTAAGCCAGAGAGAAAAAAAATGAGACTTCAGTACTTCGAAATACAATATTTCACTCATACTTCGGAGTGTAAAGTTCTTTTTTTTCTGTTTTGACTTATTTCTCAGAAAAAAATATGGTATTATATTTTGTTTAAATCGCCTAATAAATCTTTTACGTTGGATGTTTTTTAATTTATAGCCTGGAGGTGAATTTTACTTCAGTGATATGTATGCTGATCGACCGATTCCGAAAGAATTACATAGCAATAAAATTCTTTGGGGTAAGAGTATTTTGCGTTCATTTTTTGTGATCGATCGATATATTGAAATAATTTCATTTTTTTTATAATGGGAAAAACTAAAATCACTTTCCACTTTTGTATATAAACTAAGTGGAGGATTAAGTGGTGCTTTGGTAGAAAGTGATTTGATTGCAATAGCACTTGATACTGGTTTTACAAAACCGTGTTTGATAAGAAAAAGTCCAATCAAAGTGATTAACGAAGACTTGAAAAAATTAGTCGGTTAGATTTATCTAGTTAGATTTTTTTCTATTGATTAGTAAAATATATCTTTTTACGCGATATCAAATATGCCTCGTGTACTTATCGTTTGTTTAAGAATAAATCAGATGAAGATTCTACCATATTTGATAATAAATATGGTGCTTTGGTAACTTATGTAACACCAATGACTTATTGTGAAAATGAATTTCAATTCGATCAATCAATTACATTAAAAGTATAGTTTTTCATTGTAATAGTTGTTTTTATGAATATGGAATTCGTTTAGCTTCATGATCAACCTCAATATTTTAATGCTGAATTGATCAACATGTTGCGCATATCGAGATATAGTGATAATTTTAAAATTGATCCAATTATTAATGAAAAGGTAAGAGAGAGATGGAAGGAAAACATAATTTCTTCTAATTTTCTTTTGTAGGAAATACCAGATTTAACTAATCAAAGGTCAGTCAATGAAGTGTCAAATGGCCAACTATCATCCAATAGTTCTTCTCTATAAAAAACATACTAATAATAATGTTGATACAATATTAGTTTATTATTCTAAGAGCATTCTATTGGGTGTGGTTATCATCTTTCTATTATACTGAATAAAGAATTTTTTCATAATTTGAATAATGTTTTTCATATTCTAACTCTGATGGTTCAAGTCTGAAGTAAACACTAGAAAAAACAAAAATAACTTCACAATAGTTGTTTCAATGTATTATCTACTCGACCAAATTGAATTAGATACATGATGTCAATAGCGACTACATACATCATTAATTTATATTTTAAAGAGGTTACGATAAACTTCATACATTTTCATGTACCTACATAATATCACTACTACGTTAAAATAGCACTTACGAATGAACCTCTTTGCCTTCCGATTTCAATGAGTTTTTGACTATATATACATATATGATAGTCAAAAAATTGATGCACATTCGAATATTTATTCATAGAAGAAATATTTTGGCAATTTCTTTATAGTAAATGTTCGAAGTAGTATGCATGATGTTCAACACAAAGTATTACCCTTCAAATCCCTTTCTAGAATGCCTTTTAGTTTTCCTGAACATGTGATGAATCGATCTCTGTTGTTATTACTTTAGCTAAACTTGTAGCACTTGGATATTATCAAGACTACATTGCAGATAATTGAACAACTAAAGATTAGATGGAATAAATCCAGACGTGCATAGTCGATATGAATCATACCATAGATTTTTCTTCTTTAAGATAATGATGAATGAGAACGATATATATTGCGTGAAAAATTTTGCAATTTTATAATGCAAATTTATTCTCTTTGTTGTTGATGATGTTTTTTTCTTGACAAATTTCTCATACTTTATCAGATACATTGCATATCGTTTAAACACTAATTGGTTAAACTAACTACTTTATGCTATTGTAATAGCAAACGAAAGTCATTAATCGGCAATGACCTACTGGGATTTTGATTCTATACTTGTACATGCTGCCACCCAATGTTTTCACTATTTGTCGACAATTTTAAGTACAACGGTGAAATATATTCTTTCATTGAAGTCGATGCATAAAATATCACACAAACAGGTTTCATTACGAACACATACGGATGTGTTTTGATTAACGGTTTTCTTCTGATTTGTCATACTCTCTTTATCTCGTTCAAGATGCATGAGGATAACAATATGTTCTTCTTGTACATTTGTCCGGCTCAAACTATTAATCGTAGACTGAAAATTTTCACAACTGTACAATCTTGCACTCATGTTGAATGATATTAAAATTTACGAGATACGAAATAGATTTTGTACGAAAAAAAATATTCATTCAAACTTTTTTTTTAATTTCAAATCGTTGTTATATTTTGAATAATGAATGTTAAATATAAGTATATAAATTATTCAAATAGACAGTTCCTCTTAAAGAAGATATCAATTTAATTTTGGAAAAGTTTCATCATTCTCTCTCTCGTAATCGTATCGGATTGAAAGATAATACAATATATGTCTATTTCCAGATAAGAACAATAAATGGAATAGCCAATGCGATAGTCACAATAATATGCAGTAAAAATAAAATTAATATACAATTATTCCAACGTGTTTTAACACTAGCATTAACTTTTTTGTCATTGATATCCGATGGTTCAGTTTCATTTCACGTATTAATTATCGTTGAGGATGATTTTCGAAGAAGAAATTGAATGATTTCTAAAACAATGACAATCAAAACAACCCAACCAGACCAAATTGAAAGAATAATGATCATGCCAGTTCGACTCTCATCCATTTCTACTGCAATAAGAAAGATAGTTGAAATCGAAAGAAAAAAAGCCAATACTCCTGTCAAGCGATGAAGCCAATTGAAAATATAATGAAATGCACCGTCTGGATGACGACAAAAAAGTGCCATCCATGCTTGCACAAGTGCACAGGCAACAACAATGTCACCAAGAAAAGAATGGGCAAACACAAGACCTTCGTCATTGCTTACCCATTTGCCTTGTGCTTGAACCAATATGAGAAAGAAACCAAGCAAAATAACCATCGTAGTCAAAAAAGCCATTAAACGATGGATTTGAAATCAATTCTTTTCGCGTAATAGTTTGTCTTTTGAACCAAAACGTATCGTACGACGATAACGTGCAAATAGAATAGCTGTCGAAGCGAAGACCATTCATGCAAGAATCATCATTGTGTCATGAGCATTTTCAAATCGTTTATCTTTTGTTTCAGTTTCTTCTTCATCTTTGCTTGTTATTAACATCTTTATCTTTAGTACAAATAAAAGATATTCGTTATAATTTAATATTTGATAGTGTCGTTTGATCAAGTAGTGACTTTTATTCGTTTATATTGATCTATAACAGCATGGAGCACGAATAAAACGAATGTAATTTTGTTTCTTTTCTTTGTGTACAGAAGTATAATAGTAGCTTGTTATTTCTGCAGAGAACATAGACAAATTCAACCCAAAAATCAAACATGAAAAGTCATGACTTTTCTTGAAATGTTCTTGAATATGATGGTAACTTATGCATAAAAACAAGCATTGATTCTGTATTTGGGTAACCGATAATAAGAGATTTTTATAGAAACATCTTTATGTTATTCATTGCCACAATTATCAATAACTTGTTTTTGACAAAATCGAACTTATGCATATACTCAAACCACGAGAATAAACCGAAAATGAAATATTTTTCTGACATAGATATGTTTAGTGTTTTGTATTACATGTAAAAATTTATTGAATTGTTCAAGAACTGTTTTGTATCACTGCAACAAATGAATGTTCTTATCAAAAGCAACAACTTCCATTAACATATTTGATTAATATTTATACACCTTTATATAAAATTGACTACATTTTGATTTTAATTGGTAAAATAAATTAAGATAAAAAAAAAGGAAGACATTTAATACCATATTCGTGTCTTATTAATTATATACGTTATTCAATTAAATATGTAAAACCGACAATCATTTTAATTGTCTATACTTTAATATCTCATTAGAAAATTTCAAGTTAATTAAAATTGTCTACCAGCTTAACAACTAATTAATTTATTCTTTCTTTTTTTTTTTTCTATTTGTAACTTCATCATTAAATATGAAGGATAAAATAAGAATACAAGGGAATTAACAGACAACAGAAAAACACAAGAGACCTCATAAGTGTAGTCATCATGACATAGATTTTTTTTGCAATGTATTCTATAACGTTTTACATTTTATTCATGTCATGCATGATTCAAATAATTGTGTACATGAACATAGACTATTACTATTGGATTGAAGTATAATAGTAAGCATTATTCTATGAACCATATTGAAAGTATCCTTGTTTTGATATTGTTTATTCATCTCATCAATACAACATATGTAAATTATACCCTTATAAAACAATATGAAGAAGATGATGACTATAATAGAAAAAATTTTATTAAAAAAAAGACTTTGTTGTCAATATTAGAAAAAAAAACCTTCGTTCTTCATAAAAGAAACAAAATAAAATTTATGTTTTTATATATGTTCATGAAAGAAATATTACTCTGACAGACTACATAGATTTTTTTTTCTACTATTTGCTCTATTTCATTATTGCAGCAAATATTTAATCACACTGAATTATATACCTTGTGAAGGTATATATAATAAGTAAATACTTTCTATGATCAATCATATCTCATTTCTTCTGTGACCTTTCAAATGTCATACTTTCTCAATCTTCTTGAAAAATAGAATATATAAAGCCAAAGGTATTGCAATGCACTCTTCCACAGGGGAAAAAGTTCCTTATTATATTTACTTCAAGAGGTAAACAATTTACTCTCAACAAAACACATAATGTGATAATGAATTAAAGCAAGTAGCAGATATATCTGCCGCTTATCAGAGTAACATTTTTAACAGAGCTTATGAGAAAATCTAACAATCCAGTTTTGAATGGAGCAAAAAAAAATTCATACAAATATTTACGAAAATAAATCTTGACAACATTATCAAAAACCATGAAAATTTGAGGCATCTAGTCAATTTATTAAAAATTTAGACTTTACAACAAATTATGTTTTGAGTTATTAAATATGTATTGTTATCTTTCAACGCAGAGACTCATGATGCTGCACAGTGAAAGAAACGAAATCTAAAAGAACTGTTGAATCTAGGTTTTTCATGGTCGATACCAATTCATCTGTACTTGTGGACATGCTATTAAAGGTCCTATACTAATAACGTCTCGTTCTAATATATAAAATATTTTCTTATTCAATTTCTAGAGAATTAAGTAAAAAGATGATGAAGAAATATGTCTCAAAATAGATAGAATAAAGCAATCTTCATGTAATTAGCAACACGAGCTACATCGTCTCTCATATTATAATCCTAAAAGAATTGCGCTAACAACAGTCTTAAATCCCGAAAAGACAAAACGTGTCACGTTATCACTTTTCTGAAATTACGAAGTGTTATTCCAAAAGGTCTATACATAAAATATGTTGACAATATTCTACAGTGTATCTTTCTTTTTGTTATATTTATTAAAAATTTGAAGATATAAAATTCCTTTCTGAAACGCAATAAGATATGATACAAGAAATAACAAGCTTATTTGTAAAAGTTTAGATTTAGAAAAAAAAGTAAGCAATTTGGATATATGTAAGAATGTAGGAAATTATTTTTCGTTGTAATTGATAGCCTGTTAATAATTAGAGAGTGAGAAAGTTTATTATATTCATTATGCATAGTAGTTAAGAGTATATTAAACTGAATATATAGTGAGAACAACTAGACAAGCATTGTTTTTCATTGATCGAGTTTTGTACACATTATAGATTCTTTCGACAATACTTTAGAAATCAATGCCATGTTTAGAATAGTAGTATATTTAACGTGGGTGAAATAGCATATCAATAATTGTTAGTATATCATTATAGTCAAGAATTTTTTAATAGTTCACTTGAAAGAACGTAGGAGTTCTTGGTCTGCTTTTTTTTGATAGGCTCTCATAGTATAGTAATTTCAAGTGTTGCTATTCTCGATAATTTGTTAAACATTTATTTTTGAATCTTTGCTAATGTTTTCAATTACAGCAAATGTACTTTTAGTTCTGACGAATGCATGTTCATTTTCATCGATTTCAGGTTGTGTCATGATCATGACTTTTGTAATTATTATTGAATCCATATGAAAAGTTCAAAAATGATCTATATAAAGATTAGCAACATTGTGAGAAAGATCACTTGAAAGCAAGAAAGATTTACATAATATTAAAGTAAGGTGTGCGGAAAATGTAAAATTTGAGTGGACTCTTTTCTCGTTGATTTATATGATTTTATAGAGCTTGACGAGTCGGTCATGCATATAGATTTCATTTCGATTCGATCAGTGTTTAACTGAAAAAAATCGAATGACTGAATATGTGCCATGAATAATTATGAGCTCGTTTTTTCTTTCAACAGAAAACGTTCAATAAGAAGTGCGTTATTTTTTCAAGTACTATGACAATATTTTATTCTAATTCAATATCAAAAACTGAATACAAAGATGTAGTTTATTTAGATGCAGAGTTAATAAAGTTTAAAAATAATCCTCTTCAATATAGATAACTTTGACATGCGACATTATAGGTATTTAATGAGTATTCATGTTAACCTATTTAGATTTTGTTAACAAAACATTGAGACAAGTGTCTTATCTTATTAAAACCTCCGCATCGTGACCCACACAAGCACTTATATAGTTTTTTTTAATTCTGTGTTATTGATGAGAACAATTCAATTTTTTCACATTTATTAGCAAAATCAGATAAATAAATAAAGAATGTGCTCATATTTAGCAGCTTTTATTATCGCGATGTAGTTAGAAACAAAAGTGATAACATATTGTGCATGAACATTAAACACTGTACGGGCCTCATAAATGGTTTAATAAAAAATGTTTCCGATATAAAATACATCTGTAATCTTCTGAAAGCGTCAGTTTTGCATAGCAACAATGTTTCTTAAAACATACATGATTTGATGCAATTTTTCACGTTGATTTCGAATATGCTATCAATTTTATTTTTCTTATTAACTGAACCATGGCAATAAAAGCAGCTAAATACAAATGTATTTTGCATTCATTTATCTGATTTTTCTATCAAGGGGGGATACGAATCAATTGTTTTAAACAATCAGACTGAATCGAGAAAAAATTATAAAAGTACTTACGTAGCTCACGATCTCGAGCTTTTAATGAGATAACACACTTACTTTTATCTCTTGTTAAAAGAAAAATAATACAGTGATTAACAAGAACACTTGCTAATATATTCTATGGCGCATGTTGTAGTTATCTATATATGACAAAATATTTGTAAGCCTTATTAAGTCTAAATCTAAACAAATAATATTTTTCTATTCAGTTTTGACGTTGAATCAGAATAAAATATTTTCACAAGGTTCTATAAATATCATATTCAAATAAGCAAGAAAAAAATCCACTCGAATTTTGCATTGTTCAAGGCTTGGTTGATATCTTTTTAAAGATCAAAAAATTATAATAAATGAGTTAATAATGGATGGAATTCAATTTTAGAAATATGTATTCAACAACAAATGTTTGTATCACTAATCGACATAGAAATAGATAATATAAGTAATATAAGGAAAATGTTTTGGATATTTTTTTTCTGATATGGCACAGCAAGCTATTACATTGAATGTCAAGTTCTTATTCATTATGTGTACACAGAACTTTCTATCATGGACTGCAAAGTAATTTTCTGCTCACCGATTCAGTAAAATAAATGAATACACGTCAATCGATATCGTTTGTATTTAAATTCTCATCAAAATTATTATTCATGTTTATAGGCGACAGGAACGAATTTTATCAAAATCACTTATATTCTATTTTTGTATATATAATTAATAAATATTCCTCATATCTATAAACTTGATTGCTTTCAACTGATTTATTTTTGATCAAACTATCTTTCTTTTTTATGTTAGTTTCTTTAAAGTTTGAAACCAAAATAAAATAAATACGTTGTAAAACCACGAGAAAGAACTGTCAATCTGTGTGGAATCGCACTTGAAAGAAAAAGATTTTAAGTAACAAAAAAAAAAGTGATTCTTATATCTCAAGATGTAAACTTCCTTTGACGTAGTCATTTTTACGAATCAGTTGATTCTTGAGATTAAAAAAAAAAGATTTATTTGAGTGATAATAATCTGCTATTTTTATATCGTAAGATGCAGTAAAAGAATACTATTTGACAACCTAATCATAAGATAATCATGATTTTCTAACAAAAAAGGATTTATAAAATGACTTAAAACAAATAAGATTTATTTATTCAAGGGTCATGAATAACCTCTATTAAGAATTTCCCTAGGTATTCAGAATAAAAATGTGTCAAATAAAGAATTTCTATGAAACTATTTGAACGATTTAACTTTTAAAAGTCTATCTAGACCAAATTATGAAGTTACAATTTAATAATAATGAAGAATCTAGTATCGAAAAGTGTCTTTAATATATCAAAGCAACACAAAGATATACAATACTCAAATCAGATGTGAAGAAAAAATAAATTAACGATGATAAAAGTCTATTTAGCAATGATAAGAAAGAAAAACATTTCGACACTATAAACAGTAGATAAAACCAAAAATTCAAAATTTCTCTTCATTGCATAGAAATAAATCGTAAGAGAAACAAATTTTGAAAACAACGAAAAGTTCTAGAATGAGTTGTTAAGTGTGCATTTGTATATCACCTATATTGAATGAGTTTCAAAAACGAGGAAGGACAGATATTTAAAACTAAATCACTGATACAAATTTAATAATACTATTTTGATCTCATATTTTAGGTAAGACCATAATAGTATGAATGATAATTTATGACTTTTTCTTTAATATGATGAATCATTTCCTCAGAGTGGAGAGCCATAATCACGAATTTCATGTAAGATTTTTTAAATCTCATTAAGATCTACTTATAGTGATAAGATGATTTCCAAAATTCGGAATTAGTTGAAATATTTCTCGCGTAAGCAATATAGTTTCTGTAGTAGTTTTGTCAATTATCATAGCATGAAATCACTTCATCTTTTGTCTGTTCAATATAGTGAGAATGTTTAGTCGTGACTTTTTTTTAGAGTGGATGTGAGGTGTGGATAAAAATGAAGATGACTTTTACGCACATCTCGATGAAAATAACTTGATCACAATTTAGTTAGCGTTTATTTTCTATTTGTTAAACTATTAGAATATTGATGATAATTTTCTTGAACAATTATATTTCACTTTCTTATTAAATTTATGAATATAGAAAATAGTTTAGAGAAATAATAGTTGATACCAATCGACTATGGGGTGTAGATGTAGTTCGTCTCTTCACACACATATACTGGTATAAATATCCACATCTACACCCTCATATATGATAACTAGTTTCTCTTTGACAAAGCCATATCTTGTTTTTTTTTACAACGGAGATCAACAATACATTACAACATAACCAAAAGACAAAACATCTAAAAAATTATTGATCAATGATTAAAGATTGTTCGAATCTGTGGACGATCGTTTGTAACATTGCAACATGTTTGTGATTCATTTGTGCTTTCTGTAAAAATGCTCCTTGATTCAGAGCATTTTGAATTAGGTGAGCAAAGTAAATGGACGCTTGAATATAACCAGATTGATATATCATATATTTGAACATAACGTCAACAAACAAATTTTGAATGGTGAATATTTGAATAGGATCACAGAGAAGACTCACATCTAAAGAGAGGATAGATTGATTCAAAATCATTGATACACTAAACTCGATCTCGATATTTTTCTGATCCAATTATCAAAAATTGCTGTGTAGCACCGAAGCTCAACATAGAAAATTCTAGTCTTTTCATTATTAGCCTTTATGTCTCATTGAAAAGAAATTAAATCTTATTCTCAAGAACAAAGAATACCTGTCAATAGTCCATTGTCATCAATAGACGGTTGAACCATATCGGAAGAAGTTGAAAAGCTCATAACAAGTAGAAATAATTTCGATAATGTTCGATCGGCAATGCCTAATTCAATGGCTTTCAACATGAGGGTTATTAGTGACACACCATATTCTGCAATGGCCACGCCTCGATTCGTGGGATCATCATGAAATTTGCCTTCTTGACATACGTGCGCGCCATGTAGTGCTCCCATCTGATGAATATTCCGCTGAATGAGATTCCGACGATCAGTCCATGATAACGCAGCAAACTGAGGTACAGCTTCTACGAAAGACCAGACTGACGAGAAAAACAAATTCATTGTGACCATCAAACTATTAGCAGCAATTTTTAGACGATATTTGGGTGGACAATTTGAGTAGACAGCCATGCTTTTCTGAATCTCTGGAATTGGACAATAATCATCATAGCAATGAATAACATTGGACAAGAGCGACCATTGCTCGAATTTTAACAATGATCGATCATTGCAAAGAAGATTCAATGGTTGAATGGTCCCTGAACTGAGAAGCTGCATGAAAAAAAAAAGAATTATTCGAGTGAATAAGAGATATATTCTTCTACACATAAACCTTATTTCGAAGTTGTGTGCTGCCATTGACGTGTGTTCGATTTATACGTCGAGAACTATGTGCTGATCGAAAAAGTTCCTTGTTCATTCCAACGGCTAGACATTTTTTCATTCGACAAAATCGACATCCTCGCCGACTGCGTGTATTTACATCGCATTGTCCATCGAATTTGCATTGATAAGTACTCTATTGATCAAGAATAGAGATATTCTGTGTAGTAAAAAAAATGAAATCATGCCTTACCAAGTCCAAATGAGCATTGCGACGAAAGAACATTTTACAAGGAAAACAACAGAGGGCATCATAGTTATTTGAAGCTGCGTTTGAGTTACAAACTTGACAGACACGAGACAACTTCGTTGTTGGAGACGCTTCATCAAGCTCACTGTACATTACCATCGACAGACTAAATCTGAATAAGATCAATGTCATTCTAAAATCTTTTTATCTTAATCTTCATTCTCTCGTCGCTCATGTCTAATTGCACATGTTGAAAAGGCACACACGCAAATGCATCTGGCAAATATTAGTTCGTTTTCTTTACTTTCTTCTTCTTTGGATTTTTTCTTTTCTTTTTTCCTTCTGTCATTAAAGAATACGTCGAGAATGACTCCCTTCAAACATTATTCATGACTACGAGGACAAAACAAAAATCCTATGCTTTTAAGCATTCTTCGTTGCTGATGAATTTTATTCTCGATGAACTAATGAGGAAATATCATCGAAGCCCCGAGAGCTCTCTCTTTCTTTCTCCAGTCAAAAAGAAAATTGAGTTATAGAAGAATCTCATTGGCAAGCAAAAAGAACAAAGAAACAACCTACTAAATTTCATTTGTCTTATAGATTTGATGGACCAAATTTCTGTGATATATTCCAGCAATACGTGCAAGACCTCTGAAAATAAGTTTGAACACTATTTTGCGTAGAAGATGTTATCTGGAATAGGACTAAGCGAATCTTCAGATCAACTTGAATGAGTAGCAAGAGCATTGATGTTCACGTTTGAACTCTATCTCTGTTTTGGAAATAAAATAATTTTGTTCTCAGGTCATTACATATGTGCTGTCATCATTCATTGCTTTGCGAAGCATACAATGTTTGATTGACTTGCTAAGGCAAAAAGATAAAAAGTGTGTTCATAAATAATTACATTTTATATAGTATTCTACATTTTGTGCTAATAAACTCGATTCAAACTCACGCTTTCGAGATGAAGAAGCTTGCATCACACGCTGAGATGGTTTTTATCTTCATCGAGGTAGGATCAATCGAATGATTGGTTTACCTTTACTTCACTCTAGGTAGTTGAAAAATATTCGACAAGAAAAATATTTGCAAAAAGAAGGTCAAGTATAGTTTTGATGTAAGCCTTAAGCAAAATGGATTGTAGCATACAGCATTCAGAGATATAACTATCTATTATTCTGATAGAGTGGGTTCGGTTGCACTGTGCTCATGTTTTACTTGTTCTGATGATTTAATACTCTGTTTCTGTCTACTCAGAGAAGCTTCAACAAAACAATAGAGACGAATATTGCTTATTATAATCAAGTGTTATTTATAAGGCATCTATTGAAAAGAAAATGATGTTTTTTTTATCAACATCACTGAATCATCATAGATAAACTTATTCATCCAATATTTGCATCTTTTTTGACCAACCATAAAGTGATGGCGCCGCTTATCTCTGATCTTTGAAGATAGTTGAGACCTTTTTGTGCTTCTGTCTACTTTGAGCTATTTCTCGTCTTTAATGCAATGAAACCATTTGACGAATACTGAGAAAGTAGACATGATTGATGATGACAAACATAATCATAGAGGTCACTCGTCGATGAGTATATCATCCTACAAGGCTTTCTTTTTTTGCCTTTAGTGTTTACATTCAGTGACACAAGACGACAAAGGAAAGATCTCATATTGATTAGTGTACACATCTGTTCTACTCTATTCATCAGATATGTTATAACAAAGTCTTATCATTTATTCATATTAAGTCAATTATTTTAGAACTATGTAATCACATTTCTCTTCAGGGAAAGAATCGAAGGAATAAGTAACATCACTTAATACAATGAGAGATCATTTCTCAGACGGATGTCTCAACATTAGCGCTACATTGTGAACAAGTGTGAAATAATCATCGAGTTCAGTTCATGTAATTTCTTGACCAATGGTAATTTATCTGGATAAAATCTATGGATCAATGACCTAGTGAACCCTTCTCGTAAGTGATTCCAAACGCTTATAGAATCTTGTCAATATTACTATCCTAATCGATGTTCTTGTTTCAAGTACTTATTTACTTGCTTGAATTTTACCAAATATTTTGTACACGCAGAGCCCATAGCATGTACAATTTCGCTTCATATATCTCAGCGTACGAAGTTTCACAAGTGCTTGAGTAAGTACTTGGGAATTGGAGGAAAAAAGTGTTATAGTACTTTTTGATTATTTCAGTAGGTGTACGTTGCTTATTTGTCTACATGTCGACAGTAACGCGTTTTATAGGCATAACGTGTAAAAGTACTTGTCTAAATACTTGAAACAAGTATATCAACTAGGGTAAAATTTTCTACATGTTAGTCGACATGATGGGTTATGCGTTTCGTTCATCTTGCAAGATTATAGTCTTGGAAGACAGACTCATTGACAATATTTAATTTTGTTATCGAGAAAAAAGACAGAAAGTGGCTTCCGTCCTAGCTAACATTTTGTTTTATGAGTTTCTATCTTAGCGTTCGAAATATTTACTAAAACAGAATTTCAGTAAAATCCAATAGATGATTTCCTGGGCATAGAGAAGAGGAGGTCGAGGCAGCCGAGCTTTCTCTCCCATTAGCAAAAAAAAATTAACTCTAGTATTTGATTAGTTACTTCATATGCATAAAATAGTTCAAAAAGAAGTTATATCACGCTTTTCCTGCTAAAGGCAGTTCAGAAAAAAACTGAGTACCTCAATTTCGTAAGCAAACAAAACCAAATGCAATCGAACATGTGACTCACAACCTTCGAACTGTTTTTCTGAACTGATTTTAGTGATGGATAAAGTAGTACTGAAATCTGAAATCATACAAGTGAATGTAGATATGAGTGTAGGATGGATCTTTTTCTAGACACGCTCATACCAGAAACCAACAGCTAATCATATCTACACCTATACTCGTGCTACCTTTAATTCGAAAAAAAGTGAAGCTTTAACATTCATATCTGTTCTTGACATCAATAAATTATGCATACATTCAATCGTATATCATATTCGCAAGATTTCTTCGTTTGCTGCATAGAAACTTGGATTGATAGCGAGTGTTTATGTCCAAGAAAGTGGACAAGTTATTATCGGCTTAATGAAAATATTAATACCTTTAATCCAAACTTGTATAAAGTTGTTGATGAATTAAAAACAGATTATGTGTGCAACATGGCTATAGTTAAATAGCTAAACCACAACATGAACACATCTCAACGGAATAAAAAGAAATTTCGAAACCAACCGTCATTCAGAAACTGGGAACTCAACAGCAGCTGAGATGAAATTCTAGGAATTTTCGATATCGTACTATTGAGGGCGACTCGAAAGAATTTAACACACGATCCCAATAAAGAAATTACAAAGATGATTGACTCAAGCCATTCTAATTCAAGTTCTCTAAAAAAATGAGTTTCACTTGGTTTTTCTAGATTCTTTGATTTTCGAATCATACAAGGAGTTCAAGATATTCTACAATGAGATTATTTGAAACACTGCCACATACAACTCTACTGAATGACTTTTATTGAGCAGTAAGTATGTATCGCATCATATGAAAAATTTTTCAGCAAGTTAGTAGTTGGCACATTCAGAAGCATTTTGTAGACAAGTGTAACATACTGGTATCAGAGTACTCTAAACTCAACATATTAACTAGGATATGATACTGAAGTACAGTGAACATTTTTCTATAAATAAGGTGAACATATCAATACAGTTTGAAAAACCACTATGAGAAACATTTACGCTGTATATAGGTAGAAAAACGTTTTACAAGAACATTGATACATTATGCAACATACGATATAGTTATAAATGCTGATTTCAAATATGAAGTTAATCTTCAATAAAAATGTTTCTAATCCAAGAAACATAAGTTTTAATGTGGGGAATGTTCAAGTAGATTCTGAAAAATTGCATAGACGTTATGGACCAAAGGGTATTCTGTGAAAGTTTTATTCAATTGACAGTTGTGGAAAATTATGCAAGCTCTTAATATTGAAGACATATTTCTATAAAAGCACTTGATGTTAAAGAAGAATAATTTTTTTCGGATTTCAAATAGACACAAACGAAAGTATCTTTTTTTTACGAATCGATAGAGTGAAAGACGCAATTTCAATTCCTATATAATTATATCATCAGCCTTTTCTCTATTGTTTTTTTGTGTAATGCTAACCAGAAGAACAATCACTTTAATGCCACCAGATAACCCATATGTCATAGTATATGTTGCTTTATTTGAACCATTAAAAAGTACGCCTCTAATTTTCCATTTAACGTTGCCCTGCATACTCAGAGTGTCTCACTCAGGGCATTCCTATCAATTAGCCTTAATTTTTCAATGCAACAGAACCGAACTATTTATACGTAGATAACACTCTACCGATTAAATGCGTTTCGAATGTACTAGAATAGTCAAAATTGGCATAGATGTCATTAGTTATCGATTAGTTTTTTTTTTTCATTTCAATTAAACCAATCCTATTCCAAACATTGTATAGAGGTTCTTAATGTCATTCTATAATGGTAAAAACAGAAGCATATACATAGTACATCTGCTGCTGAGACACTTCTAAACTAAAATATCGTTTCTTTTAGATGACTTCAGCGGTGAATAGCACCGCAACAATCGATGATGATGATATAACATCTAATTCATATAAACGACGTCGTTCATCGATAATATCTTCAAATGAAATATCAAATGAACAATCACCATTAAAACGTGTTCGTTCATCATCTCCAACAAATCTTCAAACAATGTTTTCATGTTTAAATGATATTGTTCAATCACATCGTAATCTTGTACGTGAATATATTGATTTACAAATGCGTGATCGTACTGATTTATCAATTGATGAACAACGTTTTATTAAAGCTGAAGAAGATCTTATTGAAAAAGTTGAAAAAAATTTACAAGATATAAATACATCATTAACATTAAAACAATTACCAAATAAATTATCTGTTGATCGTGTTAAACATGAAAGTAATATATTAAAACGTATTGATGAATTAAAAAGTAATGGTAAATGGTCAAATCAACGTTTAGTAAAATATCTTGAACCAAAAAAACGTAAAACACATTGGGATTATTTACTTGATGAAATGCGTTGGTTAGCTGAAGATTTTGCACATGAAAAACGTTGGAAACAAATGATGGCTAAAAAACTTTCATTAGCTATATTAAAATATTTTCGTGAAAAAAATCAAGCTGAAAATCAACAACAACGTGATGAAATAAAACGTTTACGTAAACAAGCTTTATTTGTATGTAAAGAAGTAATGAATTTTTGGAAAAATATGCATAAAATAGCTGAATATAAAGAAACAACACGAATACAAGAATTACGTAAACATCAATTAGATTTACATTTAAATTTTATTGTTGATCAAACAGAAAAATATTCAGATTGGCTTGTTAAATCATTAAAAACAGAAACAAATGATGATGATGAAGATTTTAATGTTACTGACGATATGCATGATGATGATAATGAAGAAACAATTGAACGTGAAGAACAAGATGAACAAGATGATAATGCTGTTAATGAAATAAAAGAATTAGAAGCTGATCAAGAAGAATCTATTGATGCATTATTAAAACGTTATTATGGTATTGATATATCAAATTCATCAAGTGAAAAAGAAAATAATATACCTATTGAAATAAAACAAAATGATAATGAAAAAAATGATTCATCAGAACAAGAAGATGATGATGATGATGATGATGATAATGAAGAAGAAGAAGAAACAACAAATGAATTAACAAAAAATAAAGAAATGAATGATTTAGCAACAACAGCACAAGCACTTCAACCAACAGGTTTTACACTTAATACAACACAAGTTAAAACACCGGTGCCATTTTTACTTAAACATTCACTAAGAGAATATCAACATGTTGGTTTAGATTGGCTTGTGACATTATATGAAAATAAACTTAATTGTATATTAGCTGATGAAATGGGTTTAGGTAAATGAAAATTTTAGCATTTCATTCAATAGAAACATAGAGATTCGAACTTATTGAAAAATCTTTGAAATTCTGATGATATGTAAGTTTTTATTAGATGTGACAAAAATCTTGGCGAACATGGCGTCAGAAAACCAAAGATAAAGTTATTAAACCGAAAAAGCTTTTTTCAAAAATTAGATATTTGTAGAGTAAAAAAGGAATATTAAGGTATAAATATAAGTTACGATATGGTTAGATACATCAGCTTTTTATTGCAGCAGAGTTATGATAGAAAAGTTGATATTCCAGTCAAATCGTTACTTGTTGATGAATATTCACTCAGATTCGTTGTCAGTCTGTACATGTCCTATTTCTAGATAAAATTTAATTTCATAAACTTCTTATCATTTCGAAATATTTTCTCATAAGATCAGTAAATATTACTATCGATACGAGATTTATTCTAAAATCAAACTCGAAGAAGAAAACTGTTGAAAATTTATACAACTTAATATCTATATGATTTGAATGTGAAGTTAATATCAGACTACAATTTGAAAATATAGGTTTCTCCAAAAGTCTAAGACTTGATTAGGTTCTCTAAAATATGACACCTTAAAAATTCAATAGCCTCACGTCAAATTTCCGAAATGTCAACTCTTTCATAACATGAAGACTGATTGTGAAAATTTAGAAATATTGACATAACAATGTCAGATCATGTCAAACCTAAAAACAAATATCATCATTCAACTCAGACTGGTAAATTACTCCTGCTTGCGTGCTTTTTTGGAGATCACAAGAAAAGTCTTATAACTTTCCTATGGAACAAGCTGAGGATGTTGGCCTCGCACAGATCGAAAAAGAAATAGCTTCAGAATATCGTTTTAAAAAGTCTCACCCGATTAATTCTATAATATTCCTATCCAAACGTATTCAAGAAACAGTGGAATGCATTACACTTTAAAATGATTAGTACATTTGTGATGATCTTTGACTAGCGTTTGCCATGACCTGTAGAACATTCAAAATTTTAATCCTATACATCAATAATCCTTACAAATCGTATGTCATAAAATAAATTTTATTATATTCTTTCAGGTAAAACAATCCAAACAATTGCCCTACTTGCTCATCTAGCATGTGAAAAAGGTATTTAGTTAATTGTTTTTATTTTAATTTGAATCAAAAATAAATATTTTATTTTGAGGTGTTTGGGGTCCACATTTAATTGTTGTACCAACAAGTGTTATGCTTAATTGGGAATTAGAATTTAAAAAATGGTGTCCATCATTTAAAATTTTAACTTATTATGGTTCTGTAAAAGAACGTCAATTAAAACGTCAAGGTTGGACAAAAGTAAATGCATTTCATGTTTGTATAACATCATATAAACTTGTTTTACAAGATGCTAAAGCATTTCGTCGTAAAAAATGGAAATATTTAATCTTAGATGAAGCACAAAATATAAAAAATTTTAAATCTCAACGTTGGCAAACATTATTAAATTTTCATTCACAACGTCGTTTATTATTAACAGGTACACCATTACAAAATTCTCTAATGGAATTATGGTCATTAATGCATTTTTTAATGCCAAATTTATTTTCATCACATCAAGAATTTCGTGAATGGTTTTCAAATCCATTAACAGAAATGATTGAACAAGGACAAATGAATTCAAATGATTTATTAATTAAACGTTTACATAAAGTTTTACGTCCATTTATATTACGTCGTTTAAAAATTGATGTTGAAAAACAAATGCCAAAAAAACATGAACATATTATTATGTGTAATTTATCGAAACGACAACGACAATTATATGATGATTTTATACAATGTAGATCAACACGTGATGTTATACAACAAGGTCATTATATGTCTGTTATTAATATACTTATGCAATTAAGAAAAGTTTGTAATCATCCAGATTTATTTGAATCAAGACCTATTATATCACCACTTACAATACAAAAAAAATTAATTAATTATGAAATACCAAAATTAATTGAAAATATAGATTTAAAAAATCCATATTTAAATTTTAATTTACCACCAAATGATACATTTCTTTGTTTTCGTATTAAATTTACTTTACAAGCAACACGAGATATGATATTGGATTCAATTAATCATATTGATGATAATAATCGACAAGTTATTCAATTAACTTCAGATATTATTGAACGATATAGAAATAGTTCATTATGGTATCAAGCAAATACACAAATTAGAAGTATACAAAAACAAAAGGATTTGATTTTATTATATTTATATATTTTTTTGCGAATATTTTAGTTACGCGTAATCGTCAATTAATTAAAATGATTACACCAGCAGATTTTGTTGATGATGAATTTCAACCAGAAAATATTTATGTAAGTTGAATATTACGTTTTTTTTTTTCACATCTTCGTAGAGTCTGTAGGATTGGATCAGAAAAGTATCTCATATATTCGGTGTGACAGCCCCATTTCGATTAAAAAATATCACTGAGAATATAAAATATGATTTCAAAAAAATTTATCCTGTTAAATTTTCCTACAAGAGAACCAATTGAATTAATACGCGCCATTTCAGGTTATATTGTACCTACAAATATGACTTGATGAGATTAGTAAAAAATGAAGAAATGTTGTTTTATCGAGATATGAAAGATGAGTATCATGTATTTTGTGGTACTGACTTAAGTTTTCAACAAGGTCGTAGAATTACTCTATAGTGAGAAAGCTAATATTAATTAGTTAGAGTTAGATTATTCCACGTATGTTTCGTTCTTAGATCAAAATCTTATAATCGTTTTTCATTGAGAAGTACAGTTCGAGTTCGAAAGTGTTGAATCCAACGAACTCTATTGGCTGGTTGTGATAGTATCCAAATTATGAAGTTGTTATTGTAGTGTTAATTGTTATTTTTCATAAATTTAATATTTTAGTTTGAAATTTGTAAACAACGTCAACGTGAACGTTTATCTCGTTATGAACTTCTTTGTCGTTTAAATACAGATCGTTGTCAATCTCGACCATTATATGGTTCAGATGTTTTAACACAAGTTGAATTAGCTATGCGACCATGTAATAATCAAAGACGAACAACATTTAGTGGATATGCATCATGTCATGATATACATAGACGATTAAATACAATAAAAGATTATTTTTCAACAACAAATACACTTCGAAAATTAATTAAATCAAATAAAGATATTTTAAATAATTTTCAAGATATACTAGATAGGTAAGTAAAAAAAAAGAACAAACAAAGAATTATATAAGATTTTTTCTAGATTTATTATGTGTACAACAAAAGTAATAGCATCATCTATTGAATTATGTCAATTTAATGGTATTAATCGACGAGATAAAACTCTTCAACAAAAACCATTAATTGAAGTATTATCATCAACTGATTTTGAAGTACTTTCATCAATAAATCAAATAAAACAAAATATGTTTTTACAATTTCCTGAACGACGTTTAATTCAATATGATTGTGGTAAATTACAAACACTTGATATACTTTTATCACAATTAAAACGTGAAAAACATCGATGTTTAATATTTACACAAATGACTAAAATGCTTGATATACTTGAATTATTTTTAAATTATCATGGTTATACATATGTTCGATTAGATGGTACCACACAAATTGTACAAAGACAAATGTTAATGGAACGTTTTAATAGTGATGAAAAAATATTTGTTTTTATTTTATCAACACGTGCTGGTGGTATTGGTGTTAATTTAACTGGAGCTGATACAGTTATTTTTTATGATTCGGATTGGAATCCAACAATGGATGCACAAGCACAAGATCGATGTCATAGAATTGGACAAACCAAAGATGTACATATTTATCGGTATGATATAAAAATTTAAAAAAAAAAACTATGTTTTTAAGTGATTATACAAAAATTGTATCATATAAAAAAAGAAAACACGTCGAAATATTTCATTGTTAGAATATTTATAGAAGATTGAATTCATATAGTCATTTTCGAAGAAAAATATCGTCAGTAGAAGTTATAAATCAAGGTTTCATGACGTCGTCCACTTTCATAGGTGTTGAAGTAAAAGGTCAACCATACCTTTTACTCTCGTTCTCAGACGAACTGAAGTGACTTAAGAGACTGAAAGAAGTCTAAACAGAGAAACTTTCGGTTTCTTGTGAATCTATGCGAAATGACATTAATAATAAGGCTTAGATTGTCCTAGAACATTCTAAGACCTTCTTTGATATTTAAATAGCTGTGATACGTTCGTTAATATTTGAAACAGCACACTTTTGAATTTTTCGTGTAGATAAAAATTTTATATGATCAGTAGTCATGCATTGATTTGCTACGGATGTCGTATAATCAACATAGAAAATGAGAACTGATCAAGGAATAACTTTCTAGAACAATCGATATTAGTGTTTCTTAGATTATTGAGATATATAATAGATGTAATGGATATGTATAATAGGTTTATTTGTCATGGTTAAATTTAAAAAAGTGGAATACAAAAATGAAAAGTAATAAGGTAAACAAAAAAAATTTTGTTCGAAATGAAGAAATAAATAAGAGAGATCATTGCCTTGACGAATCATTATCCTTGGAAAATAACTACAGTGTGTTAAAGATTGTTCACTTGACGTATTTTGCATTAGTATAATGAGGCGAAAGAATACATGTAAATTCCATATAGTACCTTCAGAGAGATCACGCTAATAAGTATTTTTTTTTCTACATGGGAAAATTCATATCAATGAAAAAATAAGTGATTATTTTTCTATCGAATTCTAGACTAGGAATCGACATGATTGATACTGCTAAAATTGAATAATGAATGACAATAGACGTCAACCAGAAGAGTTTATTGTGAAAATTTTTAGAAATTTTCGCTATTTCTATTCTACGATTGTAAAATCATGTCTTTTACGTTAGTTATTCTCGCCAAGGTCTATCACTACGTCCACATGATGCACATAGTTTCCATTCAAAAGCGATTAATCAATTAGAGAATTTCTCTTGTTGATCTTCATCATATTTCAAATTTAGATGATACTTTTAATTGAAACTTATAGAACAAAAATTTCGAAAAAGAAATTTAGTTATGACTACACTCGTTACTCAAACCGTACAATTAAAACTAAGCATATGTTTGTAATTTGTAATCAGGAACAGGTAACAATAATAACATTATAAGAATAAAATCATAAAGATAACATCATGAATAGAATTTCGACAATAATTAATATTGAAATTTAGTTTTCATGATCTCTTATTAATTAATTCGAATTTCAACACAATAATATCTGATAGTTATATATATTAAGTGCTCTGCTTGATTTACTTTAGTATGTATAAGAATCTCAATAGTAGTTTAAATATTTAATTAGAACAACGAAAAAAAAAAACAACATAACCATGTCTATTAATTATCAATCATTTTAACTTTAGGATAGTTTTCATTAGATTTAAAATTGATAATAGAATATTTGTATATTTTAAAATCTTTTTTTCTTTTTCTTTTTTTTTCTAAATAGACTTATAAGTAGAAATACAGTAGAAGAGAATATATTAAAAAAAGCTAATCAAAAACGTTTACTCGGTGATTTAACAATTGATGGTGGTAGTTTTGATGTAAATTATTTTAAAAAGAATAATATACGTGATTTATTTGATCAATCATCAACGTTAGAAGATATTGTTCGTGAACGTAATGATTATCAACAACAATTAGATAGTAGTCGAGCGATAACAACAACAACAACAACAACAAATAATGCTAGTCTTGATAATAATCTAACATTAACACAATATGAAGAAGCACTTGCAGCAGTTGAAGATGAAACTGATCGACGTGCAGCTGATGAATTAAATAAAGAAGTTAAAAATGAATTAAATGAATTTAATGAAGATGAAACAAATGATTTAAATGAAGATCAATTAATTGAAAAACAAAAACGACAAATGAATAAAATTGAAGAAGAATTAAAAACACTTGATGAACAAGTATGATCTATTTTTCTTTTTCTATACTTCGAAAATTGGCCAAATGACCTTTAATAAAACTATCATTTGTCAGAGCAGGAATAATCAACCACGCTGACTTGAGTGGTAATTTTTGTTTTCAATTTCGAAGTTGCTATGCCAGCATTTAAAAAATTCTACTATTTTCTCACTATGACTCTTGAGTGGCGATATCGAAAATGGTGGCATAGCAGCTTCGAACTTAAAAACAAATGTTACTATTCGACTGTGTGTGACTGGTTACGCTTGTTCCGATCCATAGTAGTTTGGTTGAACGTCGTTTATTCGATTATGGAGGTCTTCGAAAAACTTCAATAACTCTCAAACGAAACAAGCTATAGAGCTCGATCTTGTATACATCGAAAGAGACCAGGTTTTTTATCGATCAAGAAGAAAGGAAGACTAATTTGACGAGCCTATCATTATATAATCCTTCCATACGGTTATGTACGCTAAAAATTTCATCGAGTTTCATCTGAATTTTGAAAATTTGCTAATAGTTTACATAATAATATGTTTATTAGAGCGTAAGCTCTTCTCCTTTGTTGAGTTATAGAACTCATAATGGGAGAAACTGTCATACATCATAACTTCAATTTAATTCAATTGATTGGTATCCAGTTTGGTCTTGCCAGTCTGCATTTTTAACTTAGTAAATGGCATAAAAATTTCAAATGCATATGCTTACTTAGGTACTAAAATATATAAAAGGATGAAAATAGTAGGATAGCCGATAACCAACTGCTAAAGAAACAACGAACTGATGAATTAGAAGGAAATATGGTAAAAATTAATGCAGTAATATGTTATTTTCGACGATCGAAACCTTCTTTCTAGATAAGAATGGTTGAGATCATAGAGACATACTATCAGTCTGTAGTATATTTGATTAAAATTAATAATGCGCTCGTTCAAAACACGATCTATTAAGAGTTTTATGATGAATATAAACTTTGAAAAGTACTCTATAACCAAGAAAAAAAATTAGCCTGATTGATTGAAGCTAATTGAAGATATCACTATCTAGTTATTTATCCGCCAATCTATATATTCATTTATGAAACTTCTTTTTGTGAAACACAATCTAAAAGAAATGTTGAAGTAAACGGATAAAAGTTTCGACCTTCCTCACAGCCTGTCACAAACGTTTTTGAAAAAATGTGTCCCAAAATAGAACGAATAGAGCAATTTCTCTATGAATAGCAGCAGCAGCTACCTGGTGTTTCATATCATATATTCATAGGGATTATGCTAACATGGTTTTTCTTCTCTTCTTTTCAGCTTCGACCAATTGAACGTTATGCATTACGTTGTGTTGAAGCTTATCGTCAAGAATATCAATTAGCTCAAGTTGCTCCAAATACTTGTCTTGATGCTGAACAAATTCGAAAAGATTGGCAATTATCACGTTTAAAATCATTGAAAGAAGAAGAAGAACGACAATTAGAACAAGAAGATGATGAAATGATGTATACATATGCTTTAGATAAAGAACGACAAACTAAATATAGTTATACATATTCAGCTGCACAAAATAGTTTAATAGCAAATGAATTAGCACGTCATGAAAAAAGTTCAGCTGCTATTGCTGCTAATCAACCACCACCACCACCAACGGTTATTCTTCCACCTACACCTCCACCACCTTCACCTCTTCCACCTCCTCCTCGTCCTGTTATCATAAAACGTTCAACTCAAATTCCAACTGAAAATCTTCGACGACGTCGTATTCAACCTTCTCCTCTTCCTCCTCCTCCTACTCCTTCATTACAACCAGCAGTACTACCATCTCCACCTCCACCAGCCTTAATTCAAAAACCATCTCGAATAATAAAACAACAACAGACATCATCTCATATAACTAATAATCGACATAATAGTAATGATGATTGCGGTGATTCAACAACACTTCTTGTTGCTGATGATTTTGATGATGATGATTTTGATAATAATAATCGTATATATTCATCGAAATCTAAAACAACATTATCAACAATAACAAGAAAACCTATTACAAATTTATCATGTTTAACACAAAATTCATCATCATCATCATCATTATCATCAATATCATCAAATACTACTACAAATGGACAACAACAAATATGGATTGTTAATTCATTAGATCAACAATCAGTTCTATCATTAATTAATTATATTAATCCAAATTCAACAAATAATTCTCGTTCAACAGGATCAATACTTTTAAGTAATAAATCAAATATAAATCCATCACCAGTAACAAATCTTCTCACACAACAACAACCTCGTTCATCAACAACAGCTGGTACTGTTTATCAAATTCGTTCATCACAACAACAACAACAACAACAACAACCACAGCAGCAGCAACAACAACAACAACAACAACAACACAATGTTGTCTATCAAATACAAAATGGTCGCATATTTCAATCAACTAAAAAGACAACATAAACGAGAAGGAAAAAAACCTAATATTATTTATGAACTTTATTCCACTATCGCAGGCGATAATTCAACAGTGTGTTTGTTTTTCTTTCTTGGTGTTGTCTCCCATATGCATATAGTCATATAAAAAAAAATTTTGTTGTTCGTTTTTCTTTTTCTACGTATATGTGTGCGCTTGTTTCCTTTCTCTCTCTCTTTCTCTTTTTTTCTGTTCTGTTCTGCTAATATGAAATATAAACCTATAAATTTAACAACGCACATATATCAAAGTTTATTTCTTGTTTATTTCTTGTTTTTGCTTTTCGTCATTTCATTTATCTATCTGTGACAAAAAGACAAATTTTGTCTTTGAATTATGATCTATTGTTTATTTCATCTAATCTCGGATTGCCGAGTTTACTTGATCCTGTGGTTTTGTTGAATGAAAACATCAGTAATAAACAACTAGATATCTTGCAATGATAAGAAACATTGTAATTCAATTATTGATTAGATTTTTGCCATAAGAGAATATATTCATGTATCCAACGTTGTTCGGTTTCATATTGTAACTCAGAGTATGTGTCGGTGAGACTAAGAAAATCTAAAAGGAAATGCAGACTCATGGCTTACTAGTGAAGAATTATGATAAATTCAAATGAAATTCTTGTAAAGAACAAGACATTTCCGAAAGAGCTGAAACAATGAATTTTTGTTCTGCACTAATGCTTGTTTAGCTTGCTCATGGATAAGTGTGGGTGTAGATGTTAGCGGATGAATAACAATGAGGATGACAGCCTCCATCCATCAATTCACGTAGCGATGCAACATCAAGGTTTCATAAAAAGTACTGAAAATTTACTACGAAATTTTCCCTCGAAATCATTTCTTCACGACTATATCTTTCAATCACATCGCTTTGGGATACAGCAACATGAATGAATAATCGAAAATCCTTTCATTCTACAAAAAAAAACGCCTGTACTTAGGTGAAAAGGAATGAATGATGAAGAGTACTATGTAAACATGTATGATCTACGCTGAGAAATTCCGTTTTGATCAGCAACCAGACGCCTTCTATGCCATTCATTTTCACCGTTGACATAATGCGTTTTTTCTGCTTTATTAAAATCCATAGAAGCAATAAGGGATTATTATAATCAAAATGACATCGAAATCATTCGATCATTTGAGTTGTTCGTAAATGACTAATGTCACTGGAAATAGTCCGTCACATTTTTAGAATGATATTACTCGCATTACAGTTAAATGATTGAGTTACAACGATACCTCACAGTAATTGCACATTTGTCTAAGAATTGCAGTTGATTGTTGACCTTGTCAGGTATCGCTATCAGCTCATTAAACCTTTCTTCTCTCTTTTATACTTTCCCTCTTGTCTCGCAACGTACAAAAGACAATGTGTAATTTTCTAGAAGGCGAGAGACGAGAGGGAACGACAGAATGTAAGAGTAACTTGCTGTGTCTACTTCATAAATTTAAGTTAAACACATGTCTTGCCCCCATTTTTCATCATTAATGTTTGTCTTTTTTCTTCCGAAATTTCTTTTTTGCTCTTTCTTTTCTTTTTGAGCATATTTGGGTGTACTTATAATGTTTCGGTGGAGAAATACCAAGGTAAATATTGATACAAAGACATAATTTGCTGATTCTTACTCTTAGGAAAGAAAATGCTGCATCAAATTGTGTTTTTTTCCGACAGCGATCAATAATATACTAATTTTCCTCTATAAAATGTAATTAAGAAAGGGTTTGAATGTAGGTGTGGGTGGGTTCCGAATTTGAATGTGAGTCTATGGGTCTATTTCACACTCCCCTCTTCTCAAATACCAGTATCCACAGCTACACCAACACTCACACTGGCACCCACACACACCCGCAAGCGATGATCTGCTCGATGGAATGAGATTCTAGGCGTTCGCAATCGGATGAACGACCGAGCTCGATCGGTTTCTGGTGCATGGATTTGATCTAATCAATGTTTGCCCGCTGAGATTGGATTTCGTAGAAGCTTTTGCGATGATAGAGACTGAGATCTGAAGGCTGATAACGTCGACTGGTTTGGTTGTCTGCAAAAATCAATACCGCAATGTGAACAAAAATTGACTTGAAATGCGAGTGTTTCTTCATGGCACGTTCTACATAGTCGTGGCATGGTTTGAAATGAGAATGAAATTATGCCGATGAGTCAAGAAAAATTTCCAACTTTTTGCTTTTGTTGCTTTACTCTCCATCAAGTGTTACGTTGGCATATTTGTATATGACGTATAAGGGTGTACATCGCCAAGCAATTTGTCCAAGTAGGAAAAAACAACACGAGAAGAAAAAGAAAAGTCTTGAGCAAGTAAAGAAACAAAATTATTCATCAGGTGTGCCATAATTCAGTTGACATACATCTACAATATCAGCTACAATGAATTCAACAAATGCTTCTGGTATAGAGTAGTGCATATGAGAGAACGAAGATAATAATGTTTTCTATTTTTTCTAGTTGTTCGAAAACGATCAGATGTAGACTCTGGTGCCATAGCGGGTTTGGTTATTGGAAGTTTCTTAGCTGTTGGAATGATCATTCTTGTGTGCATCCTGGCCAATAGAAAATTCAACTTCTGTAAAAAATATTTTGATGGCAAAAAGAAAAAAGACAAAAGATCATCGAGTATGTGAATCGTTTTGGATAGAAATGTAATGAAAAATATCCTTATCAATCTCACAAATTGAAACATGCCTATTAGTTAGCCGTATTTTGTGCGATGAAACTATAGGTAGTGGTCACAGAGCAGCATTCATTAGAAGCAAGCACGTAAAATGACAAGTCAGAGGGCATTGAATGTGTGCATGCATATGTGTAGAATAGTCACTTGACAACCGCATTGCGCTCAATCTTGCTGCGCAGTTAACTGTTTAGTATCGAGCACCACTCATTATTCAGCAAAGCTTAGTCACTGATCCTTCGGCATCTTCTACGATTTGATAATACCCTAGAGGAATTTGTGTTCAAACTCTGAAAAAAGAAAACTTTCAAAAAACAGTATCTCGAAAGCTATCTCACGAATATTCAGTTTTTATTGTACACCTCGATCCCATAAGCCCTCTCGAATAGAATACCAAACAAAACAGCATTTACAGGCTTTTCGAGAAATGTTCACGTACGTTCGAATAGTTAATTTGAATGTGTGCAAGCAGCGTCTTAGATTGTCTTGATTACTCGCTACTGAAATCTAACTAGTATCATATGTTTAGATCAGAGATGAAATCGGTACCGGTAAACCGACCTATCGAACCTTTTCAGACCACTATCAATTCTAGTTGTCAAAAATTCAGACTAGTTCCATCTCTATATCAGGTATGTGATACAACTTGGCAAATAAAGTTTGTCACGTGATAAACCATGTTCTCCATATCTAAATCACTTTTTTTTCGAACTGTGAATTATCGATGTATCATGCGTTACCGGTAGACCGACCGAACTGAGAAATTTTGGATCGGTTCCATCTCGGATTCAAACTTACCCACCCACTCACCCACTTACTGATAATCAAGACTTATCATGATTTGACAAGTAATAAAATTTTCTCTGTCTTTAGCCGTTTCCAATCCATCATCATCAGCGCCAGTTGCAGCATCTGCTGCAAGGAAACCACCATTAGCGACAATCTCTGGGACACCTCTGTCTGTGGAATCCAAATGGCACGCCAGAAAGCGGGATCCACGACCGAAATTAGATTCTACTCCAAAGGTTCATAAGAAAGTTCTTCCGCCCATTAAAAATCCTTTTCCTGATCGATGCCGGAAGTCGATATGTAAAAAATATATCGGAAAATTGGGTTTGGATGATGCCTATTTCAATCCTCGTTATGACAGATGTTACTGTTCGTTATGCTATCCAGCAGGAAAAACTAGCGTATTCTCAACAGCCGGTTCGAACTACACCGTTCCACGAGGATGGACACATTTTGGTCTACGAATCGATGAGACGGCTGCTAATACTCAGCAAATATTCAAAAAATGGTTCACTACATTCTATGGAACATCACGTGATAGCATTGAATTAATCATCAGAAATCGTTCAATACCTTTTTCTGGCGACGATCTTTTAGATGGTACTGTTTTCACTAGACATATATCTGATAAGACATATGTTTACTCGTCACCATCAATTTACTATGCGTCTCTTGAACGTTTTTGTCCAACCGATACTGTCTTAATAGATCATAAATGGTACGACATGAAGATTGTTCTCGCATGCAAACAATATCCCGAGGGACTCGTAAAGCAACCGGGTAGTACACGCAATGTTTGCCGTATAATATCAGATGACGAAATAGAATGGAAAACAGATCACAGGGCAGCTATTCAATTTTACGGTCTTCTCATTCATGTACAGAGCCATCAATGTAACCGTCATTGTGAGAGTCAACATTCGTCTACCTAAATAATTGATTTATGCTATGTCGAAAAATTATTTTATTCTAGAATGTAACCGCAAGAATAGGTAACTCCTGTAAAAATGGTAACGTCTACGTTCTTTGTTTCTTAGGCGAACAAATTAATCTGAATGAGAGATTGGTGTGAGTTATGAGATGTAGATTTTAAACATACTCCTGAATGTTTGTATGGCTGTTGATGGGCGTTGGTGTGACTGAAGCTGTGACTATAGTCGTGACTGTGTGATGTTGGCTTTCTCCGAGTCAACACATTCAAAGTTTCAACCAGTACAGACCTCAGTTTTGAAAGGAATTATAGACTCCATAGATGTACCTCTTTTATGGAAGTTTTACACCCACACGTACTTCATTCAAGACCTTGTGTAGCTTATTTGAAACCTTATGAGATCGAACTGTTCGTTTTGATTTCGAATTTATCAGATTTTAGTCACGAAAACTATGTTGTGTTTTTTCTGTTGTTAGTGTGGTTGTAATTTGGTGCCGGGTAGGAATGGGGATGGGAATCTGAGTGTGAGTATGGCTGTGGAATGTGTGAATCTTGGTTTGAATGTTGGACTG